TATATGTACATATATATAAAAACTTATACATATATATATAAGAAACTGATATGAACCAATAGAGGTTATATAAATAACTCGAATGTCGAGCAAAACTGCGATAAGCTTTTGACATGACATGGAACGTGAACGATATTATTTCCAGGTCATAAACTGAGCTTTAGACAAATGGCATGAAAATATAGTTCAGGGTTAAAAATATACTTCTGTACACGAAGACTGAGTCGAATAAGAATGAGTCGTACACTTATTGTATTTAGCCCACTTTTTTGTGATGTAATTGTCTTAAATAACGTCTTGTTGTAAAAACTGTATAGTGAAATTGTTTTATCAGTCTGTAACAGAAAGCGTATCATTTATCGTGCATTTTTCATTTTCATACACATTCGACTCGTTTCTCGGAAGAAAGCGCGGAATTGCTTTTCAGAAATATTGCGAGAAAAAAAGCGAGAAATTCAAAAGTTGCCAAAATTAGAAATTCATTTTATCATAATATTGTTATATATTCGAATAAATCTTTAATATCTTTTATCGTTTAAAGAAATTTGATAAAATCTACAATTACAGATAGTTAAATATTGCTCATTTAAAAATTTGTTTTTATTATATAAACAAGATTGTAATATAATTTTATTGAAAGATAGAATAACATTCAATTTACATCTTATTACGAATTGCACAAGTGTAGGTAATGCAAAAGATAAAATTAAGATCTTGTTCATTCGAATTTCTCTTTTATAGATTAAGCCAAAAAATTAATTAACATTAGTACATTTATTAATTAAAATTGATTAACAGTATTACAATACATAATTTAAATTTGAATTTTTAATAATGCAATAATTAATAATAAAATATACCTTATTTTATTTTTGCTAAAAATATAAGTTAAATAATAATCATACAGTTAGTCGTTTCTAACAGTTTTCATGTAACTCAGGAACACGTCGAGTTTCAAGGAATCGAAATCAACGTCGAGCGAGGCTAAGTTATCTAGTGTACGAGAACGAGCTTCCATACATCAGCGAGAGTAACACCGGTACACTCGGCACGTAAACATCGGAAAATAGACGAACCTATCTCGTCGCCGCTCGTAAATCCTCAGTTGGCCGTGGCGGTAAACACGTGCTCCATAAATTAGGCATAAATATAATTTAAAGTTAGTCGATCGTCATGTAATTTGAAATTGCCGGCGTGAGAAAAAGAAACATAAGCTTAGGGACGCCTGAGAAAGTGAAAAGCTCGCTTATGTAGGTAACATAATCCGCGGTATTTCACATGTAATGATGATGGGACAATGTAATCCTGTGGCGCGGCGGCGATCGACTTAAAGGGGAACTTAATTCGCTTCCGCGACATACGGCTTCTGTAAATCGGAAACTTTTTGCCGGTCCTTCTCTTTCTTGTCTCCTTTCTTCGTGCGAAAGGCGAACTCGGCTCTCCTTCCTTCGATTCGTCCTGCATTATTCATGGAGCCGGGCAATTACAATTTCCTCGTGCCCGGTCGTGCGAAGGAGAATTAAAAGCGGTCCGGGTTTCATCAACTCGTCGATTGGTTTGGATCGACGTGCAAATTAATGGCAGTGTTATTCAATTGCGCAAAAAGACGAGAGAGGATGATGGAGTGTTTGCGCTCACAACAGCATGAATAGCATTACACAGAATTT